TCTCAGCATGTGCTCCTTGGGCCATTTGCATCAAAATCACCTGTGGTGCTTATTAAAATGCAGATTCTTAACTTCCCCCCAGACCCAGAGTGACGATCAGAATTCTCTAGTGATAATTCTGCATCCAGAAATTTCAAAACCAATGCCTTGGATCACAAGGACTGTGCTCTTCATTTTGCAAACAGGCACCTGAGGCATAGGGGTAGCATATGCTTAGGGAAATCCAGAATCTCAGTAAGACCAGGAATAAGAACTGGATTTCTGATTTTGCGTTATAGTAACAGATTATGCAGCTTCTTTGTGGCTTTATTTGCTGTATCGAGAGTTTGATTTGGGTTGTGCTACTTTGTTTACTGAGACGTAGCACTATTTAATCTAAAAATAACATTTACCTTATAAATCTAGAACTATCAAGAATGATGAGTTCCTGGAAAATACACCTGGACCATTATCCATCACTCAGCTAAAATTGGTTCAGTTGTGGCTATATCTAATACATCTCTCTTGTGTTACAGATGAAGCAAAAGGGCTCAGAGAAGTTGAAAAAACTGTCAAAAGTCTCATGACTAGATATCGGCAGAGCAGAAGAGTAGAGCTTGGTCTCCCAACTGCCAATCCAGTGTCCTTTCACCATATCCCACTGTCCTAATCTTTGCTGATTTAATGATTTAAAGCAGCACTTAAAATTTTAAAATAATTTTACCTATACTGCTCACATAAAATCTGCTCTAAGCAGTTTTTTTACACCTCCTTTAATTTCTTTTACTTAAAGATATGCTAACATCACATCTTTTTTTAATAATAGTGGTAAATCAATAATATACCGACAACTAATAACTCAAAGCTCCACTGCATATTGCTTTTTCAACAGTGTGGATCTGACTGTTCTAAAGCAATTAGATTGACTTTTGGGGCTGTGATGGAAATGCTTTGGGCCTTTTCACACAGTGCCTACAGGTCTTGTATATATTGTTCTATCACAGTCAAGCTCCCACATAGTGTTACTATGCATTTAGATAACAGTTCTTAATTTGAGGCCACACAAGGATATTTATCTGCTCTACAAATCACATCCATGTAATTGGTGGTGGTCGGGAGGTGCTAATCATGCCAGGATCACTTGATTATCTTATAAGATGATTTTCTTT